GGTCACGTGCTGCGCATGCCTAACCACCGCCTCCCCCGACGGGCATTGCTAGCTGATATAGGTTCAGGTTGGAAAAGAGCCAGTGGTGGCCAAACAAAAACATGGCATCAATCCATGAAATCCTTGACAGTTAAACTGAGTCAGGTAGGGAGATGCAGACTCCCGGGTTGGGGCCCTCGGGACTCTAGGAATCAATGGCTGGAGACAATAGGTGACATGGCTCAAAATCGTTGTCAATGGCGCAGATGTATTCAGTCTCTGTAATCTTTCATATTCCTTTCTACCATTACCCATTCTGTTTCACTCTTATACTTGTCAAACTCTATTAATTCTCTTCACTCATCTTCTTGTCTACCTCTGTGTGCTATTTGGAACGTGGCAACTCGAACTGCTGCACTTCGGTGCCAAGTTCTATGTTGAATCCAGACAGACAGACAGACACGCAGAGTCGCCGAACATCCTCAGCCTACTCGGAGAGGCCAGATTTCACAGCCGCGGCGTACAGCAAGACAGGCCGCACCGAAGCATTGTATACCTGACCTTTGACAACCAGACTAACGTAGCGACGGCGCTATAGGTGGCTCAAGTTGATGTATGCCACCCTAGCCTTCACTATACGCTTGGAAATCTTGTCTGTCACCCCTACGCCAGCAGTCACACAACCTACCCACCCAGATACACAAACCTATCAACAACTTCAAGCGGTTCCCCAGCAAGAGTGAGTGCAGGTACAGGCGGCTCCTGCCAATCTTGTACAGGACTTTGCACTTAGACGACGCAAAGTACATACATACCATACTTACAGACACCGATCGCCAACTGATTAAGTGCGATTTGGGCAGCCTGCATGCTACCTCACAATATCATAATCATAGCACTTTTGCCAATATATTTTCTAACAGGACTAACACTAATTCATCATACACATCATTCTTATAATTACTGAGAATTCATTTTTAAAGAAAACTTTAAACAAATTCAAATTATGTATTAGTGAACATATTTTATCACAGTCTAAATAATTATTATGTGTGATCAACAGTAACAACAAGAACGACAACAAAAACAAGTTATAGACCCCCACCCCTCCACCTGCTACGTTGAGAGTTAACCGTACACTCTAGATTAGTAATTCAAGTGCACAACACTTATAAAGGTATATAAGGTGTGTTTTTTTCAAGGTGAAAGGAAGAAAACCAATGGTGCGAATGTGAGTGAGTGGGAGAGAGAGAGAAAGTACACTGTTAGTCGACTAATCAAATCTTGTAATTTTTTCCCTCTTTTCCTTTCCTTCCTTACTTTTCACAACGCATTACACATGTTTCCTTTTTCATCACGCATAATTCATATATATATATATATATATATATATATATATATATATATATATATATATATATATATATATATATATGTATATTCAACAATAGTCTTTTTTTCTCCTTCTTATCTTTTTGTATACTTGCTTGAACATACAATGATTTCCGTCTTTTCTCTTTTTTATTTCGAAAAATGAAAATTACTTTATCACAAGAAATGATTTCCTGTATGTGAAGTGGTTGTCGCCTAACAATATTTCTTTTTATTTATGCTGACAATATAACTGACTCTATAAACTGCCTCGTATGATGTCAAAAGGGTTGATAGACTTCAGTCTACTTTTCAAAAGGCTCTCTGTCTCTCTCTCTCTCCATCTCATATGACCAAGCGCTCATAGTCTCCGCCAGGTAATTCTTATTCACTAGCTTCACACAGCGTGATTGTCCTTCGAAAAAAGTGAAAGGACGAACACGAAAGTCTTCTGACGCTTAAAATCGAACTGATGGAAAACCCTGATTACAAAGCGCCTATGGTGTGTACATGCGCTTCTTGACACACATAAACTCACTACTAGTGGAGGAGGGAATAAAATTCACATTTGAAGCGGAAAATGAACAAGAAGAATTAGCAATGATGTTAGATTGTAAGATAAAACGAATAGAAAAAGGCAAACTATACACTAGTGTTTATAAAAAACCAACTCATTCTAATAGATACTTAGACTTTAATTCATCTCATTCGTTAACTGTTAAGGCAGGCTTAGTTGAGTGTTTAACAAACCAAGCAATAGCACTAAATAGCACAAAAAAGACCTAAATGATGAAATTAAACAGAGAGAAGAGGGTAGGTGTTAAATAACTATCCCTTAAAATTCATTAGGAAGATCGAAAAAGGCCAAATGAAAAATAAAAATAATTATGAAACGCTCTGTAGGTTAAAGGACCCAGTTGACCCAATTAAACAAAATAATATAATTCACAAAATATCCTGCAATGACTGTGAGTTAAGTTAACTACATAGGCAAGTCAAACTAGTAGGTCAGGGGTTGTCAGATTGTCAGAACATAAGAATTTAGCTAAGGTAAAAATGGTTGACCACGAGAAGATAAGTAATTTGGAAAAAGCTCAGGGATTGCACTGCATGCATTAACACACAAGCACACAATAGGGTTAAAATTCTAAAAAGTAATCTAGATAGGTGGAGTGAGAGGTTGATTACTGAATCCTTGTTCATCGAGTCGACACCAAACACACGTAATAGGAGTGATTCATCACTCATACCCGAAATATAGAAAATACTACCAATCAAATCAAGTGAAAAATAATGGAACTATATAAATGAAGTTAGGAAGTCGTGTGATTACCTTGATATGACTATAAGAAATAAATTGTGCTCGAAACGTGGTCATCAGTAAACATTACTGTATAACACTGTGAGACTCTATCAAAATAAAAATTTACCCATAATGGAATGACATGCGCTCCAAAATTGGAAAGCACTGAATGGAGTATGAACCTGTACCAATGGCTGGAAACCATAGGAGTATAGATCATGATGCTGTTCTAATACCTTGTGGATCAGATTTCAAGTCAAAAGATCGGGGGGGGGGTGACAACCACTTGCTTTGTTGTTAGTGTTCAGACAGTATCCCCGGCTCTAGCACAAACTCTATTTGTACAGAGCATCTCATGATGCCTCTTATGTACCAAGATCGTATTTTAACAACAATATTATTAAAACAATTGTACTAGAATTTACATACATGAGCCGACTTTAATAAATAATAAATAAAAAATAATAATAAATCCTTACTGGTACATATTGCGTCACTCATAATACAGATAATTGGATTCTGAGAGAAGTAGCGCCTGTATACTGGCTTGTAATTTCTACTAGTCCCGATTTCAAGCCAGTCTTATGCTTCTTCATTCACTAGATTTAAACTGGGTTAACTAATTATAAAGGTCATCTCAAATTCACTTTCTGTATCCATTCCGTTATATATTTACTCGAAAGCTCTTCTGCTTCAAGTTCACTAAAGTGCAGATTCAACAGAATAGACACATAGTACTATGGACTCTCAGGAATAACACAATATGATTGATTTTTTACAACGTTCTCTGAAAGTGTTCCTAAAAATGTTACAGTCACTTTCGATTGGATATCATGCAAAAAGTTAAGCAAGTTGATTACGCATAACGATATTAGGTTATCAGATGGAACTTAAATAAGCTGTCTGTCTGTCTGTTTTTCGACATAGAACTTCCCACATATGTGCGGAAGTTCAAATCGCCACACTCCCTCCTTGTAGCACACAAAGCAAGAGAAGAAAGTACAAGAAAAGCACAATAGACACAGTAAACAGAGGTGTGAGACAAAGGAATAGTAATAACGAAGAACAAAACAGTTTCATTGGAAATCATAAGTCACAAGGAGTGGATGCTGTCAGTAGCGAAGCACTTATTACACAACCTTTACACATTTGACTAATTAGTCTGCATCGAATGCTCACTAACCGGCAAGGAGACAGACATTTCTTCAAAAATTTGATTGATGAAGGTAGAAAAACACCAATAACTGCTCTCCGCAAATCAAATCGAAATAGAGGTTTTGTGCTGTATTTTGTTTTAGTTAACTCATATAAATACTAATGTGTGTAAAGGATCACCTGAGTTCAAAACAATTCAGATAAAGTTAACGCACGTGATTTTCACCACTACTGCCTACAGGCTGTGTTAAAATAATCTCCAACATTCAACTGTCAACTGAATCTCGTATATCACATTTAACATTGATTTATATATAACTACCTGGAATAGTCTTTCATGACTAAATCACCCTCAAAATAAACAATGTGAACACAGTCACATATTGTAAATTATTGAAGAAAGAGTGTATATCACTTGCATGCATTGTACAAGCCCCAAATTAATTACGTACAACTAATGACATTAATTTCAAAACCCTCAGATATGTTATCAATGAAAAACTATCTTCAAAAGTTATAATACAATGAGATCTACTCAAAAACAAAAATGAATATCAATGAGATGTACCCTAGCGACTGGTCCTATTCAGGTAAATAGTTAGTTACCTGGGTTCTAGTGGTGGTTTTCCAATGGTTCTCTAGTCGATGTCAGCTCATGATGAAATCCGTAACCAATCAACCAAATGCCTACAAACTAATACTTGAATATCAATGAGATGCTCACTGGCGACGGCCCTATTCAGGTAGGTAGTTACCTGAGGTTCCAGTGGGAAGTCGTGACCAGTAGGGTGCAGCACGTCGGATGTAAGGACAAATATTCGCCGAAGACATTGGCTAGCGGTTGCGCCATATCATGAATTGGCAGAAGTTAAAATTCATGAACTATTGGATCGGGTCCCAGTGGCTTAATGCTATACGAGCTCGCTCGCCTTGTAACCAGGAGATCCTGGATTCGAACCCCACAGCGTGGGTGTGTACTGATGAAAAGCCCCAATCTAGGACGAAACAGCTGTCCAGTACTCCCTGCAGGTTTTCCAATGGTTCTCTAAGCAATGTCAACTCATGATGAAATCCTGTAACCAATCAATCAAATCCCTACAAACAAATACTTGAATAAAAATGAATAAAGTAGAAGGCCTAAAAAAGGTAAAACAAGATTACTCAATCAAAATTAAGCATCGATAGGACCTACGGGCGAATCCTCGACGAATAAGTACTTGATAGGCTTCAAATCGTGCTTGTTTATTACTGTCATTTTTAAAAATTTTTAATAAACCAGCTGTTGGATTACTACTACTACTAGGTAGTGGTGGATTACAAGCGGTCAATTCGCTTGAATTTTCAGATTGACTAGACTGTTGTCCACCTACAACAGGAGAAGGATTTGAGCCTAGCGGAGGTACAGGAAGACCGGCTGCTGCTGCCTTTAAACGTAATTGTTGAATATAATCCAACTTCTCATAAACTGAATCTAAAACAAAAATAAATAAAAGTATATTAATGTACACACAATGATATGATTAATATTGTATTCTGATAATCGTTTATTTATTTATTTAGAACAATGCATAAACAGATGCACTAGTTTCAGACAGAAAAATATACTGAACAGGCAAAGTATGCTGTGTATGCGCAGTGTGAACAGGATCAAAGTGTAGATTATCATCATATCATGTGATCAATAGAAAAATTTAATGTCAGTGGCCTTTTACAACATTAAACGATAAACTAAAGCGGAAAACGTAATCTAGATTGCATACCACTTAACTACAAATTTATTGAGATGAAAGGTTCAATGTACTACATCGGTCTGTCCTACACTTAACAAGTTCTGGATAGGCAATACTATAAATTATTATTCACGAAGTGTTTTAATGTATTGCACGGAGATACATTGGAATATTCACCAATTATTGGAAATATTATGAAAAGTGCTGTATTTGATGACAAAATCATTTCTAAGATGTTGACGCCCAACAGGTATTTAATTCGTTTTTTTCCCTTCATATTCCCAGTAGAATATAGGGCCTCAAGCTAGAGGTTTGAAGTTTCTGTAGCAGTGATGTTTATTTTCACAGGATGGGGTTGCTAGCCTCATGCCTAACCTTTCCGCTTTACCAGTCTCACTACTGGCTTAGCGAGGTAAAGGAGTGCGTCCGTAGCCGGTGATGGAACCCCGGACCATGTGCATGGTCGGCGAGCGTCCTAACCGCTGTGCCATCGACGCACTATTTAATTCGTAGTGTTGATAAAGTTCTCTTCTAAAAAAGTAGTTTAAAACTTACAAAGTAATACAAATGGAATTAAAATGCCAATTTTCAAATGCACTTTGATCAAAACTATGCATTTTTTTAAATCGAACTTTATGTTCCGTTAATTCATGAGAAAAATGTTGAATATTGAGATGGCTAGGATACGTATTACAGGCATCTTCTTTGTTGTCGTGCAATGCTAGGTGGAAATACGTTTGAAACACTAGTGTAAACGGAAGTTAAATCAAAAACCAACATCAATTCATGAGAAACTTTCACTGTCGGTAGGAGCCGTATACAGAGGAGTAAACTGCTTGGTTAGGCTCGTCAGGATGCTAAGAACTAATGGCTGGAGACTGTTGGTGATAAGGCTCAAAATCGTTCTCAATGGTGAGGATGCATTCACCCTTTGTAATCTTCTACATCCAGTAAGTCCTCATGTTTCACCATGTAATTATTATTTATTTCCTACATTGCCACTCATAATAGTTCCCTTTGAAATTTTTTTTCTCCACTTTTATGCGCTGTATGGTGTGTAGCGACTTGAACTGGTTCACTTTTGTTTAAAGTACTACGTAGGAAAATTAGTCAGTCAATCGTTTAAATATTGACGTGTTTTCAGTTCATTTATTTCATTAACCAATCTTATCTGACTGGCTTCTTACTATTGGTGTTTGGAAACAAATGCAATACAAAGACAGGTTGTGAATTTCTTTAACTGCTTGTTTATCCAATCCTCTAGCAACTAACAATCCGACCATTGAATGCCAAATTATATCTTTTCTATGCAACTATATTACCTTCTGTAGAATGCTGGCACTTGGTCCAGGTTCGATATCATCCCGACGTACTCCTAAGCCTCTCCTCCTCTACTAATCGATAGTAAGCAGAGAAAAGAAAAAATATCAGGTATGAGGATACCAACTCTAACCCGTAAAAGCAACACCTATACTGCAATTTCACAGCTTTAAGCTCTATGTTTCACTCGCTACATAACGGAATGAAGAAATGGATTACATTTACAACCGACTAACTGGTGTCAACGTATATCTATAGACAGAAGTCCATCAGTTCTACTCGCCATACTCCACGTACTGCACAAAGCAAGAGAAGACAGTAAATAGAGATTTAATAGATAACAAACAGAAACATGACAGAGAAAAAATAGCAGCAAGGAAAAACAATAGGGTTTTATTGGATATGATAAATCACAAGCAGTGAATGCGTCTAATCCCATTGAGAACGATTCTGAGCCATATCACCAATTATCTCCAATCATTGGTTCTTAACATCCGAAGACCCAGACCAGGAAGTCTACACCTTCCTACCTGGCTCAAACTAACTGATGTCATATTTTCTTCTGACCAACCACTATCTTTCTCTTTGCCAACCTGACCCATTCTACATCAGCTAACATTTCCTGCCGAGGAAGACGATGTCTAGGCATGCATGCATAGCATAAGTCCTAACCATCACAATAGATATAACTGAAAAACCTCATCGACTGACTTCCCTGCCCTCCTTACCTAAAACTCAACGCCTAACATCAATATTAATCACCCTATTATATAACCTTACATGAAAGACAGAACGCAGACACCTATGATCAAAGGCAGCTGGCCTTTTCATGTTTGTGTCTCACAACCGTTAAGGAGGACGGATAGAGCTGCTAAGCAATGCACACGTTGTTTGATTGACAGCCGGATAATATCACGTATACGTAGATGATGCACTTTGGCAAATTAAACACGAGCCTTCTGTATTCGTGATGAGATTTCGTCAGCAATTAGTCGGTTTGTACATCATCGAGTAGATCAGTGAATTCATGACTAAATAAAGAAACCTTGATACTGTGACCTTTTTCTCGACACAAAACTTACGCGATGTTTCTTAGTTTACTTATAAGTAGTATACAGGTAATTGAGTGAATATATTCGTTCTTGCTTTGTTCAAACTCATCAGGATAGGATGATACAACGAATTCATTTCCAGTGAAATTTGAAATGCGAATTAACTCAAGAATAAAAAACGACTGATATCTATTGCATAAGAGATGGTTTTTGTGGCTTTTTTCTATTCCTTTACGTTCCCAGTGACACACAGGGCTTCTGTAGCAGTGATTATTTTTACAGGATGGGGTTGCTGGCCCCATATCACACCTTCCCTCTTTACCAGTCTTACTACTGCCCTGGAGAGGTGAAAGAGTGCGTCAGCCGGGGATCAAAGCCCGGACGACCTGCATGGTTGTCGAGCACCCTACCGCTGTGCCACCACTGCACGATTCTTGTGGCTTAGTGATGAATAACTTTTTCAAGAGTAGGTTCGTGTAAGGATTACATTTGGTGTTACGAGTTTGACCACGGATTGATATCAGTTAGAGAACCATTGAAAACCAGGGAGTACTGGACAGCTGTTTCATCCTAGTTTGGGAATTGTCAACAGTACGCACCCACCACAGCAGGTTTAAACCCAAAACCTTCCGGTTACAAAGCAAGCTCGTATAACTTTTTGGCATTTGAACCGATGAGAGTGCTAGGCTCGAGTCGTGGTGGGAACATCATCACTTACTTGGGATGCAAATAGATTCAACTGACAATTCCCAAATAAGTCGAAATATGCACCCTTTGTTCCACTGCTAACCACCATCAAATCAACTGAACAAAGGTAGATCATATAATAAACTTTCTTCGACTCATAAAGGAATATGAAATTTCTAAGTTCAATCAATAGGTTGATTATTTTCAATAAATGTACGGAAAATATTATATACCCATTTATTGCCGAATATTATACATGCGTATAAACAAACATACCTTCTTGTAGTAAACGAGCTCGTGAAACAGCATCATGTTTAATATGAGGATTTTTATCTTCATTCAATAAAATATTATCTTTAGTGTTAGCATTCAGGATACACCGAGGATTAAAGACTGGAATATAACCTGGAGGTAAGGATACTTGAGTTTGATGAATTTTTATATCATCTTGTTTTCCTGATGAGCAACGAAATCCAGGTAAAGCATCTAATGATGATGATGATTTATTTACCTTATGAGATTCACCTGTAAATTGAAATGCAAATAGAAAAAGGCCATTTAATTCTTGCTACAACAATAGAATAACTAAACTATTACATAATAGAAAATCACTATAATATAGTCAATCACCTCGACCTATTAAAAGAGCACATATTCATACATAAATTACAAATAGTAACGAAATGCTTTAAATAAAATAAATGCTTCTGATCACCAAGTAGTAGTAGTGGATGATGTGAATAGTTTCCATCATGAAGTCAATCATGAGTATTTGAAAATATCACATAATAAGTCTCTGATCCGTATAGTAGCACTGACTTCACATTGGAGTTGAAAATCCGGATATTATTTTTCATGCTGAGTAGTGCTGTTGACCTCCACACAAACTTGAGAGTTATGAGAGCTTGTCTTGCTTTCCAATGATCCTCGCTTTTATATCCTCGTCTATTCCGTCCGCCTGTGGTTGAAACGATGCTTCCCAGGTAGGTAGGTAGGTGAAGGAGTTTGCTTCTTTCGGATTTCTCCCATTTATGCAGGCTGATTGTTGTCTGTTGTTGCTGATGTTGCTGTTGGTCAGCCATCTATATCACCTCTGTTTTCTCTAAGTTTACCTGAAGCGAAGTCCTATCTTTGACGCTTCTTCTGCCAACTTGTTGCTTTTCACTTGCATATCTTCCAGTTTGTGGGAAATCAGACACATATATGTCATCGGCGAAGTCCAGATCCTCCCAGTGCTTTGTATAGGTCCATTTCATGCATGTTTCTTCGCTATCCGCTCTCTGTCGCATTACCCAGTCTACCGTAATCAGGAAAATCGTTGGAGATAGGAGGTAGCCAGCTTGTCTTACTACTGTCTTTACTTCCACGGACTCAGTATGTTTCCCGTTATGGATTACTTGGCATATAGCATTGTCGTACAACTGTTGGATGAGATGTATAATTGTCGGCGGCACCCCGAAGTAGAGAAGCAGTTGCCCAATCACCTATCGATCGATGCTGTCGAAGGCCTTTCCAAAGTCGATGAAGTTGAGATGGAGAGCTGACTGTCATTCCAAGCTCTGTTCAATGAAGATCCGTAGTGTTACGATTTGATCAATGCATGACATGTTTCTCCTGAATCAAACCTGTTCTGGTCAAAGTTTTTCATCCAGGGAGTGTTTGATTCTCTCCAGGACGATGCGGCTTAGTATTTTGCTTGGGATGAACAGGAGCATAATTCCACGCCAGTTATTGCACCGACTTAAGTCTCCTTTCTTTGGTAGTTTGAATAAGTAGCCCTTCCTTCAATCCATAGCTAACTTGCCCTCTCTCCACACCTTCTCCAGTAGCGGTGTCATCAAGTCCGCTAATGTCTCTGCGTTAATTTCAATGCTTCTGTGAGTATTCAGTTTGGTCCTGCTGCTTTTCCAGCTTTTAGCATCTTAATTGCATCCTGGAGTACTGCTTTCGTCAGAGGGTTGATGTCCATTTGTAGTTCTGCTACCGCTGTTGGTATTATTGGGCGCGTTGTAGGTGACAGTTGATTTAGAAGTCTTTTGAAGTATTAAGATAAGTGTTTCCTTTGCTCCACCTCTTTGGTGATTGGCTTCGCATTGTCATTCTTCACTGGCCTAATTTGTGTCGAACTCTTGCCCGAAACGTACCTAGTTGTTTGGTAGAGTGTGGAGAGGTCTCCTGCGCCTGCACTGCAGCTTGTTCTGCTTCATTTGCCATTGCTTCAAAATATTGTCTGTCTTCCCTGGCACTCTTTTGTTCAATGGATTGTAGCTTGCATTCAACTCCTGTTTTTGTTGCCCGTCGGTGCACTGGACAATCTTTTGTTTCATCATCCTTCTCTCTTCTATTAGTCTCCATGTGTCAATAGTGATCCACTGTTTGTCCTGTTTCTTCCTTCTGCCTAGAACTTCCATGCACCTTTGACTCCACACCGCTGTCAGGCTGTCCAGTGCTTTTCAACGCTGACCTGTTCGTTAGTGTTGATTTGTGTCTCGGCTTTGTCCTTTACGCTTGCAATGAAGATGTCCTTTGTAGCCTGGTCCTTCAGCTTTTGAGTGTTGAACTTGGCTTGTGGTCCATCTGCAGTTCCTGTTTCCGTGAAAGCTTTTGATTTGATTTGGATTGTCCCTTGTACGAGATAGTGGTCTGAACCAACGTCTGCTCCTCTTCTTACTTTTGTGTCCAGTAGGCTGCGACTCCACTTCCTTGAGCAGCATTGAGATGAAGTCAATTTGGTTTTTGGTTCTCCCATCTGGTGACACCCATGTAGCCTTGTGGATATCTTTGTGTTTGTATACGCTTCCACCAATCACTAGTTCGTTGAAGGCGCAGAAGTCGGCGAAGAGTTTTCCATTTTCATTCATTTCCCCGAGAGCTTCTATCTTCCTGTGTTGTCCGGCCCCAGTTTGGAGTTCATGTCTCCCATTAGTATTTTTAATGCCACCAGTTGCCCATTGTTGCCTGAGTTTTCAGTAGAACTCTTCTTTCTTTTCGAGGTTTGCGTTGTTTGTGGGTGCATAGCATTGTATAACTGACACTTTCCTTCGTTTGGAGTTGAATCTGGCAGTCATTATCCTGGGTGAGATCACTTCCCATTGCATCAGGGCCTTTGTTGTCGTTGGTGACATCATGATAGCCACAGCCTTGGTGTTCATGTGGTTATCTACAGTGAGCCCTTAAATGGCAACTACTACTGATATAATCTATCTGGATCCACTGATAGCTTCATTTTAGTGGTCGTTAGGGCAAATAAGGTCATATTATATCCTAAATTATCACTAGGTTAAGAAGTTTGTTTCAGCACAGTTAGAGTGAATGATCACTCTTATTAATTTATTTAACTTTACTACTTGTGCATTAAAATCTGATGACTTCTCAATGTCTCATTTCTTGTAACAGATCCCTCAACTATCGGTATTTCTTATTATCTAGATTGTCACAGCTATGGTCACCAGATGCAAACACCAAAGACAAGTTGTAAATGGCATCCAGGTAAACAACGTGCTGTTTTACTCTATTGATTTATATCTACGACTATAAAGTTGAGAAAGGCGACAACTGAGTTCTACAATGAATAAAATACTCCCCACTCTGATTCCATGCGAGAAAATGAATGATCTCATGAGTGACATTAAATACAGTATGCATTCATGACTAGGAATTCCAGATTTCTGGACAGTCAAGCCCATAGACTAACTTCACCGAAAGCTCAGTGTTCAGTTTGAAGCGCAGCTTCAAGAGATTAGCCATACTATTCTATAAAGTGCAAGTCAGAGAGCAGAAAGTTGAAGAATTGTCCAGAAGTGTTCCAGCTTCTATTATTTTAAGCATTGATTTACAGTACACAATGTAAACTGGTAGTGAGGGTGAGACACAGGACCAAAATAATTAGCAACTAGTTAGGTTACAGCATATTCAATTTAGAACACATCTCTTCAAAGAAGTAAGACACACAGAGAGAGAGAGAGAGAGACAGAACTTACGATTTTGAGAAGGGGCAGTCCACCCATCAATAATTTTACCACGTCCAGTTGAATTGCTGTTTGACTTTTTCTTAATTGTAGATGATAAACGCCCAAGACGAGCAGCTTCTATTTCAGCTTGTTCCTCATCCTCCTCGTCGTCATCATTATTATCTGATTCGCAACCGCCTATTTCCCAGTCATATTCAGCTAAACGATCCTGTTCGTACACATCAGCATCCTCTTCTTCTAAAGCACCTACACCGAAAGCATGACCTAAAATAGAAAATAAAATGGGCATCCCCAGCCTATTAGATAAAGATATGTGAAAAGTACTTACTACATGAATTATCGATATGAACTTTCATATTAATTTGTTTATTGGATAGATCACACATAGTGAAACAGTATTATTTTTCAGGACACTTTCGTACACAATTTATTGTTCATAACTATATCAGTAATAACAACACAACTTTGAAACTTGATTCTTATAGTTGTCATTCTTCGTGCTCATTTGGCAGTAGAATTTTTCCGATGTCCGAGACAGATGTTAGATCATTTCTGTTGCATGCGTTCTCAACTGACTGGAGAAATAAACCTTCAGCAGATATTAATCTCTCCATCTCTACTGTGTTAGGCTAGATTTTAAAACTCTCATCTTCTCATGTTCAATTGTATGGTTGTATATAAGTACACGTAGTGCCATAGCTGAACTGTTCTCCAAATTTCTTATCTTATTAGAGTCTACTAGTCTAGATTTTGCTAACTTTTGTGCTTTGCTATTCTAACTGACTCTGGACAACTACTGTGAACTCTCAATGAATGCAAGCTATTGTTATTATTTTTGTTTCCTTGGGTTCCGAGTGCAACATAAGACTTCAGCCAGCACATCTCCACTTTGTCCTATTCTCCGTGGTCCTTATCACATGGCCCAACGATCATCCATAAACTCTCATCTCCTCCATGTCACCCTCAGAAGCCTCACTCATCGTTGCCTAGTCAGGTTCCACTTGAGCGATAAAGTGGCGCGAGATGTCACCCAACGGTCTCATTAGTGTGTCTCCAAATCCATCTAAATTTTCTTCGGCATACTTGCTGAAAAATCGTTGGTATTACCTACGTCTTCTTTATGTTTACTTGGAGTTCCGTATTCACTGTCTGTCTCTTCAGCAAGTTTGTTGATTATCGCCTGCAAGTCTTCGAGTTTGCATGACATTAAACATAAATCGTGCACGCGAAAAATCCAGATCTTCGAGTCTTCTTATCGTTGGTACCACATGTTCCTGTTTTCTCACTCCCTACGCACAGTCTGACACATAATCCAGTCGACCACAATTAGGAATATCATCGCAAGAGATAATAGGCAGGCAGCCAACTCGACTTACTACTGTATTCACTTCAAACGCCTCGCTGAGTTGTCCGTTGTGGATCGCCTGACACATGGAATTATCAATCATATAGCCAGCTGTTGAATGGGGCTGATAAAGACTTGGGCACTGCACACCGTAGTGTTGAAACAGTTTCCAGATTACTTCTTAGTCAGTGATGCGCTGTATGGTGAAGGCCTTTTCGAAGTCGATGAAGTTGAGGCAGAGGTTTGACTGCGATTCTATGCTTTGTTCGGTTATGATGCGTGCAGTTGCATTTTGATCCGCACATGATTCGCCTTTCTTGAGTCCAGCTGGTTCCGTCCGGTGGGCGGAGGTCTGCATCCACCGCATCTTCTACCCTCTACAGGATGACGCAACTCAACATTCTGCTTGGCGTGGACAAGACGGGCAATATTGCAATTATGGCGTGAGCACACCTACCACAGTCTCTAGGTCCATTTTCAGCGCATCTGAGTGGGAGAACTCCGTATGACAATAGTGCGCTTCCGGTCGACGTCTCATTCAAGCTCTCCAATACTGTTGGGGGATTGATGTCCACTAGCAGTCAGTTCTGTGAGTGCTGTTTGTAGTGGTAGTATTTCTGAGAGCGTTGAAGTTGATGGACGATTCAAGAGTCCTTTGATATGATTAGCCCATCGTTTTATTTGTTTATCCTGTCTGTCTGTCTGTCTGTCTGTCTGTTTTCAACATACAACTTTGCACCGATAAGCAGCAGTTAAAGTCGCCACAGTCTATCCACGTAGCCCACAAAACAAGAGAAGAAAGTAAAGGAAATGCAAAATAGAGACAGTGAACAGGGATATGAAACAAAAAAAATAGTAATAACGAAGAACGATATAGTTTCATTGAGGATTGCAAGACACAAGCAGCGGATGCATCTGTGCTAGCCATTGAGAACGATTTTGAGCCATATCACTGATTGTCTCCAGCGATTGGGTTTTACTATCCCGAAGACCCCAACCAGGAAGTCTACACCTCCAACCGTGACCGGCTTAAACTAACTGCTGTGGATTTTTTATTGGCTGATGCCATGCTTTAGATTGACCACCACTAGCTCTTTTCTCTTTCTTTATTCAGCGCAGTGTACATTCAACTCACATTCTCCTTCTGCCGTCCATTTGTCCATTGAGTCATCTTCACTTTCACCATCCTCTTCTCTCTTCTATTAGTTTCCAGGTAGATATCCGTTGAGAGCCATTCCTCGTCTTGTCTTGTTTCTTCTTTCTTCCTAGGACAATTGTACAGGTTTCCTTGAACATCATCAGCCTTCAGAGAGTGAGTTCCAATCTTCTTCTACACAAATTCCCTCAGTGATGCCTCGTAGTGTCGTCAACCAAGATCTGCTCCCATCTGTAGCGGAGGTATTCATTGTAGATTTGTCCTACAGTTTCCGAGTTTCAAGCTTTAATTGTGGCCTGTCTGCAGTTGTTTCGAGGGATTTCAGCTTCACCTTGAATGTTCCTTGGATCAGATGATAGTCTGAGCCCACATCTGCTCCCCTTCCCACCTGGCGTCCAGCACACTAGCTGCGTCTCCACTTTCGTCGGTAACAAGTCTATCTGGTTTGTAGTGTGTCCATATTGCTTTGGGTATATCCTTGTGCTTTTACACGCTCCCTCCGATCACCAAATCAGTGATAGTGTGAAGAAGTCTGGGAAGAGTTCTCCATTGTCATTCATTTCTCCGAATGAGAGCCTCTCGACCCATGATGAGTTCTCTACGTGTATTATCTGCTCCCAGTTTGGCGTTCGTATCGCCCTTGAGGAGTTTGATGTCACCATTCGGGATGTTGTTCATTACTGTTTTCTGTTGTCGATAAAAGTCTTCTTCCTTCTCTTGTTCTTTAGTTGTTTGTAGCACTGTGGGTAGCATTGTATGATAATTATAACCGTCCTTCTTTCCTTCCTTGTGAGTTGAATCTTGCTGTCATGATCCTGGATGATATTGGTTCCCACTGCATTAGGACTTTGGCTGCCACTGGTGACATCATAATAGATACTCACTGCCTCAGTGTGCTCGTGATTGTTGTCTGTGTGACCGGAGTAGATTAATAAGTCACCAGTCGACAATTTCGATAAAACACGTCCATTCCATCCGCTCTTACGTATTCCAACACTTCCATGTTATCTTTTCATTCCTTTGAGTAACTGGGTATTTTACGTACATTGTGCGCACATTTCACGTCCCTTCCTTAATTTTGCTTTCATCGAAAGAAAACAAATCAGCTGACTGACTTCCTGAAAGTTATCACCAGCTCGCGTCATTTCGTGTCTCTGATTCCATTGAAAAATAAGGTTTTCTTTATATTTTTAACATTTTTCTTGTGCTTTAAAGTCCCTGTAACGATTTGATTGATTTTCCGTGGTAGGATTGCCAGCCCCACGAACAACACTCTCTTTTTCCCCGTGATCGGGACTGGATAGAAAATTAGCGAAGCTAGGTGAGGTATTAGAGAAACTGAATTATTTTATTAAATGGCCTCTACAGGATCATTTAACTAACACAATTTGTTTCTAAGGGAGTTTATAGGTATGAATGCCTTGTTAATAATCCTAAGTTAATTTAATTCAATTTCAGATTCTGCCGTCAATTGATTGAACAGAGGTGCTCAGTCTCAGGGTTCAAGCCTAGGTGGAAATGTCATCACTTTTTTTGATAGCGTTATTAGAAGACGGAGACTATCTGAAAAATGTGATATATTAGCGCTATACATTATGTAAGTTTACTTTGAAAGATACATTTGAACTTGTTGACTGTCTTGTAGATATGAACATAAAATATTGGAAAATGTATTCATTTGATGTTAATTCTTTGTTTACTAATGTACCATTGATTAAGACTGTTGATATTCTTTGTGACTATATATCTTCTAGTTGTTTTTCATTCCCTTTCCCTTTAACTTATTTGAAAGATTTATTATTATTATGTACTGACAACGTCCATTTCACGTTTGAAGGCTAACATTTTCGACAAATGGATGGCGTTGCTATGGGGAGTCCATTAGGACCTTTGTTAGCGGACGTGTACAAGTCTTATGTTGAAAACTTATCCCTTGATTTAATTTCAAAATTGCCCTTCGATAGGAGATATGTAGATGATATCATTTTGATATGTGACGATCATGAAGATGCGAGTCACCTATTAGACAGACTTAACTCTGTACAAAATCGTATTAGTCTTACATGTGAGGAAGAAAGTCGCAACCAGCTAGCATTTTTAGACATACTTCTGAGTCGAAGAGATGATGGCTCAATAAGACGGTCTACCTACAGAAAGCCCACTTGGACAGGGCAATACCTTCATTTTCACAGCTTCTGTCCATTACAGTATAAGAGGGGCTTGGTGAAGTGTCTATTCAAGAGGATTCAGCGTATTTGCACGGCTGATGTTATAGACAAAGAAAACGAAATATCAATGGATACTCTTGTTGAAAACGGATATCCTTTGAAATTTTTAAACAGGTGTAGAAGTCAACTAGCCTCTAAACCTACAATCCATACCGTCCCTAAGAAAAAGGTTTTTATCAAATTACCATATAACGGGGAAATATATAGTAGGGTTGTGAGACAAAGGTTGAATTCAATCATCCGTAGAACCTACTATGCAGCCCAGGTTGTAATTGTGGGAAAAGCTAAAAATATGCTTCACTGTAAACCTCAAAAGTGCACAAGTGATTATATCACATCCCATACAATTTACCAATTTTCCTCTGTGTGTGGACATACATACATAATCGCGCTTTGCACGTGAGGGTGGGAGAGCATATCCCAAAATGGTTAGAAAAACAGATGAATTGTGACAGGCTAATAGATGCAGGTGGCAGACTACCAAATTCGTCTATAGCTAAACATCTAATCGAGATGAACCATAAGATTGATGTTAACTCAGCCTTTAAGGTCATCTATAAAAACGGTCAAGGGCGTTTACTGAAATACGCTGAGGCTATAGCTATTCATAGACTTGAGCCCCCCTTGTGTATTCAAAAACAGTTTGTTATTACTCTTAACCTACCTTGGTAATCCTTATTTGATTGGATTACCAAACGTTTGTGTTAATTATTCTTAATTCCGTTTTCTCTCACTTTGTTTAATTAATTATATATATATATTCATGAAAAGTAAGCATTGAAAATAGGTTAACACAAACAGCAGTGAAGCGTTTACATCACTTCGACTTGGCTAACAAGCACTGGTGTTTTGACAGGAGTGGTTCCCAACTACTTACGCCAACCATTCAGTAGTATGGACTGTCATAAGTTAATTTGTGCCCACAAGACAAACACACATTACACCATTAAAATCAACTTACCGCTTATACCACGACGTTTCAATCCACTTTTAAGAATAAATTCATTGTCACTACGAATTTTCTGTTGCCTGTTTAGCAAAGCACTGATAGATTCTTCAGGATGTCTATCAGACCATAAGTTTTCCTGTTCATGTAGATTCGCTTTACGACGTCCCATTGCAACTTCAGGATCCAACGGTGAATATCCCAAACCGAAAGTATTTGTTTTAGCCGAAAAACTAATTTTTGCAAACATTATAGAACCTTAAAAAGATGAATTAACAATAACGGTATAATTTACTTTATTGTATAACTTAGTAAAGTACTTGATAGTACACGAATTATTTCTATCATCACTACTATATGAATATGCGATGCACCAAAGGGTGATTATGTTTCCTTTGATTAGCACTTATTCATGCCAAAAAAAGTTTCTCATGTACTAGACTATAAGCCGGATTTATTGTATGAAGGTTGATGACACAAACCCGGTTTTTTTTCTCCTTGGAGTACCAAAACCAGAAGAAGCATTAGGGTTGCATAAGCACAGAGTTCAGGGGACAACAACTGCTTGGAGCCGGTCAAACACGACCTCTTTGAAGTGATTTTTGGAGTTGCGTCCATACTAAGACCTTACCACCGACTAAGGATAGCAGTAAGGTAAATTAGGATGTACACTTTCTAGGGTCGACCTTTTTCTAACTAACTCCCCTCTCCAGATAGGAGAGGGAGTACATCTAGGTCACTAGTCATCTGACAGAAACACCTTACTGATTTTACGTTCCTACGACCTCCCAACATAGTGTAAATGATTTACAATTTCGGTCTAATCCCTATTCAAACGACATTTCTGGCATGGTAGAATCTGCAGGACGATCAGTTTCAGACAGTGTAGGTCGTTGGATCACTGCGATACACAAGCCTGACCATTACGGTAGGGGAAACAACCCAGTAACATTTGCTGAAATACACCGAACGAAATCCAAAGCCTGGATCCAGTGGCTAACAGTCATGTGTTAAGGCCAACCACCCACATCTGCAATACTGGATAGAATTGAAATCATGCAAGACTAGTTTGCTAACAAAAAACAAAGAACTCCAAATCGATAACTCCTCAATAATGCTAATCCAAGACTCCGCCAGAGATTGGATTAGATACGTTAGGCTTTTAATGTAATTAGGTTACTATTATACCACTTGCTTGAAATGCAACAGTCCACGGATTCTTACAACTTTGGCACTGTTGTAGAATATAATTCCATATCAGATACATTCATTTTAATTATCACACAGCGATGCAGTATTAACAACTGGATGACAAGGTTTCAAGCATAAATTATTGCCAATCATAATCATATCAATTTAGTCACAGGGTTTCACAATTTGTTTTATGTATTCTTTTTCTCTCTATTCTGTCTCTCCAACTCTCCTTTGTTGTTTGTCGCCACTTTGCGCGTCATTCCGATTGCACGTGTGCAATCGATAAACAAAGCTTCAGGGATTAAAATCTCTCTTCACCTAACTATATTACTTTTTAATCCTCTTACCCTGTCCCGCCACATTTTGCGATTACATGCAAGTGAATGCAGTGCAACAACTGAGCTTTTTTCTAGATTATTTAACTCAGAAGGGTCAATTATTCAGAGGTCTAGCTAAATTGTTATGTTCCAATAATCTAGCTGACACCGATCTCCTAGTTTGACCTATGTAATTGATCTCACAGTCATTACATGGTATTTAGTAAATTATATTATCTTTTTTAATTGGATCTGTTGGATCCTCTAACCGACAAAGTTTATTTGTGAGAGTATTGGGCGGTTTAAATACCACCTTGACTAATATAACAGCCTAATTGGGAATCCCACCTAAGGCCTCTGATGTTCCTTCTTCATACGGCAGTACTACAGAGGCTTAGAATTCTATATTATTTTCGTCATTTTTACTGCTAATCTTAGTTTTTCTATCATTCATCTAGTCCCGAATAAATTCTAGTGGGTAGTCATTCACTAGTAATACTTCCTTTGTTTGTTTGATTTCATTATTTAAGTCTTCTGATTTACCTGTTAGGCTCTTCGCCCGATTATAAAGACGTTTAACTAAGCCTATCTTCACCGATTCTGGATGGGATCAACTAAAGTCTAAGTATATATATATATATATATATATATATATATATTAGAGTGTGTCGGTTTCGTATAAACACCAGTATTTAACCCATCATCTTGTTTTGGTTTTATTTTACAATCTAGCATGGTCAACTCACCCTGTTCCTTTTCTAACTCAGAAGTGATTCGGATTCCGTTCTATATTGAGTTTAACATGTGTGAGGAATTGAGGGATATGTTCAGATTTTAACACAGTGAATGTATCATCCACATATCTCCACCATAACCAAGGGGCGGCATTGAACGTTCTAAGAGCCTTATGTTTCCAATCAGCTATTCCAAATATGTCTGCCACTATTGGGGATATCGGTGATCCCATTGCCACCCTATTCGTTTGTTTTTAATAGTTTATTTTGAAAGTTAAATACCGTGGAGGTTAGACATAACTGAACACTTAATATTATTTCATCAACTGAGCGAGAGCTTAGTCCTACTTTTGAGTTCAGGATCAGTGTTCAGTTCATTCCTACCTACCTCCAGGGCTGTATTAATGGCAATATTAGAATATATATAAACTGGTTATGTCAAAACTAATCATTTTTTCATCTTTTTCTAATTGAATTCCTTCTAGTTTCTGTTTTACTACCTAGAAATTACATAGTTAGCCTAGGATTTGATCTATCTCTAATGGTGCATAACAGTGGTGCTGAATACTTCTGTCTGTCTGTCTGTTTTCGACATAGAACTTTGCACAAATGTGCGGAAGTTCAGGTCGCCACACTCCGTGTAGCACGCGAAGCAAGAGAAGAAAGTACAAGAAAAGCATAATAGAAACAGTGAGCAGAGGTGTGAGACAAAGGAGTAATAAAGAAAAACAAAACAGTTTCATTGGAGATCATAAGTCACAAGGAGTGGATGCATCTGCGCCAGCCACTGAGAACGATTTTGAGCCATATCACCAATTGTTTCCAACCATAGATTTTTACCGTCCCGAGGACCCCCCCAGCCTGGAAGTCTACACCTTTCTACGTGGCTTAGGCCAACTGTTGTGGATTTCATTGACTGGTGCCAAGTTTTTGTTTGACCGCCGCTAGCTTTTTTCCAGCCTGACCCTATATCCGCTAACATTGCTCGTCGAGGGAGGCGATGGCTTGGCATACGTAAAACATGTCCTAACCATCTGTCTTTGTAGCTTCACGACTTCGTCGATTGATTCCCCCTCCTTACCTAGAACTCGACGCCTAACCTCAATGTTGCTCACCTTATTATGCTAAATACTTAGATAACCCTTACGTTGGAGGGATATGGTAAATGGCAACAAACAACAAAGGGAAGTTGAAGAGACAGAATAGCGAGAAAAAGAATGCATAAAACAAATTGCGAAACTGTGTGACTAAATCGATATGATTATGAATGGCAATAATTTATGCTCGAAACCTTGTCATCCAGTTGTTAATACTGCATCGCTGTGTGATATTTAATCTTACCTAATATGACGAGCAGGAATTCCAATACCATTGGTGAGTAACTGTTGCCTTGGTGGGTTAGGGTTAAACCCCATTAACTACAACGTCGAATAAAGACTCTAAAGATTCCACCATGAAACTGACTCTTATTTTTAATCCCTAGATCAATGTTTAAACGCTTCAACTGATCTCTTCCACGTCACCCTCAGACCTATACCCAACTCGTCGTTTTTCATTTTGGCTCCATTCCAGAGATTGTCACGTGAAGTCACTCAACGGTCTCTTAGACGTGGGCCCAACCCATCTCCATTTTCTAGGCCACATTTGTTGGGTTCTTAGCAGCTGCGTTGCCATAATTCTTTATGGCTAGTCCTTTATGACTCGTCATCTCATCTTCAGTATAGAGCGGAGCCAACTGATGAGGGAAGTCTGCAGCAACCTGTTGGAAATGGTTTCGGTGACGCATGCGCGCTAAGCCTCTGAAACATACAGAAACACTGACTTAACATTAGTGTTGGAAATCAGAATCGTGTTCCTTAAGCTATACAGCAGATTTCCACACTGATTTCATACCAGAAAATTTGAACAGAATAGTGATCATCAATCTGCTATAGGAAGCTTTTTTATTCCTTCACATCCCCAGTGGAACAAGCTACAGGTGTGAAGTTTCTGTAGCAGTGGTGTTTAATTTTACGGGATAGGGTTGCTAGCCTTTACCAGTCTTGCTACTGGCTTAGCGAGGTAAAGGAGAGAGTCGACCAGAGATCAAATTCCGGACCACCTGTGTGGTCGACGAGCGCTCTACCACTGTGCCACGCTATATAGGAAGTTAAATGAATTAAATGCAAGTAAAGTGATATCTCGGTCAATTACTAATTAATTCATGGATAATCCCTATTGGGCATTAATGAAAACAAAACACATAGATCACCTAAGAGACTCTTTTCGGCGAATTCATTTTCTTAGCTGTACAATCGCAAATATATATGTATTATTTTGTATCTATGTGTACATTAAGTTTGTCGAACAAAATTACAATTGGTTATAGTCGTTCAACACTCACCCTGTCCAAGAGGATTCAAGAACACTATCCAGCATAGATACGAAAAGGCGATAGTGGTGCAATAAGGAGTGCAATAATTGAACACCTGGTTAACACTGATCATTCCGTCTCAACAAACGCCTCCTTCAAAGTTATCTACAGAGTCAAGAATAGCCTACCAAAGGCAATACAGCTTCGTCTTCTTTGTATCGCTGAAGCTCTTGGCATTCACAAGGAAAAACAGGAGCTGTGCATACAAAAGAGACAGTGATTAAAAGTGAGTAGAACTCACTCATCAAACTATTCATATTATTATTACATAACTTCTTTTAACAACTGTTTGTGACAACTCATCACCTTTGTTACAACCCTAATTTCATTAACACCTGATTTTCTTGACTTGTATTAGCAATCTTCACCTGTTTAGTTAAAATAACCTTAACCAATTGTAATTTTGTTTGACAAGCTTAATGTACACATACATACAAAATAATACATATATATTTGCGATTGTACAGCTAAGAAAATGAATTCACCGCCGAACAGAGATTCTTTGCTGATCTACGTGTTTTGTTTTCATGAATTACTAATTACATCACTTCTAAAATATAGTCCATTCGATAATATGAAGAAAAAAAAATGGTAAAATTCAAGTAAATCATCTTACTTGATGAATTATTCTCTTCCCTTGAAAATGTATCCGCATCTGTACTACTACTGACTGTTTTAGTTTTGCTCAAATTTTCAACTTTATCATCATCTTCATTATATAGTGTAATGGAGTCGGCATTTTTCCATCCAAGACGTCGTAACAGTCTTTCTGCAAGTGTCCCTCTAAAATTAAACAAATCGCAGAAGATAGCTAAAAATAGCCATCCGGACTATAAGCGAATAGCAAACTTTATGTATACTCAGTTTTAAATGTTTACCAATACCATATGATATTTCAATCATACAACTACTAATAATGACGAGATAAACCGTTTAAAATCATAGATGTGATGTACCAGAATCCGAAACTAATGAAATATTCTTTTTTTACAAAATATCACTCCTTGTAAATACATGTATTGATTCACAAGCCTGAACAATCAAATGATATTATTATTTATTATTATATTCTTTAATTCCTAGAGGAACATAGGGCTTCAGCCGCACGTCTCCATTGCCTTCGGTTTTCTGGTAACTTTTTTACCCTGCTCCAAGTCTGCCCACATGCTTTCATCTCCTCTTCACATCACCTCCTCCAAGTCACCATAGGACGACCAACTCGCCGCTTCCCTTTTGTGTTCCACTCCAGCAATGGTTTGTCTAGTGATGTCACTTGATGATTTCCTCTGAGTATGACCAGCCAATCCATCTCCATTTCTTCCTGCCTATTTGTTTCACAATCGGTTCCTGGTTGGTTCACTCCCAGAGATCTCTGTTGCTGATCTTTTCTGACTGGCCATCTGATTTTGAGGGAAGTTTCGAGGGAAGACAACTGTTAATGAAGGTATGAAGTTTGTTGGAGATGCTCTTTATGCCGCTCACTGCAAGTCTCTGATCCGTATAGTAGCACTGACTTTACATTGGAGTTGAAAATCCGGATCTTAATTTTTGATGCTGAGTGATGTTGACCTCCACACAGACTTAAGAGTAATGAAAGCTTGTCTTGCTTTTCCGATTCTGGCTTTGATATCCTCATCAGTTTCGTCCGCCTGTAGTTGAAACGATGCTTCTCAGGTTGCCAAAGGAGGCTATTTCTTTCAGGTTCCTTCCATTTATGCTGGCTGATTGTTGTCTGTTGTTGTTGCTGTTGGTGTTGGCCAAGAATCTTCATAGCCTCTGTTTTCTCTATGTTCACCTGAAGTCCTAACTTCTCTGGATGCTTTTTCTGCGAACTTGTTGCTTTTCACTTGCATATCTTCCAGTTTGTGAGAAATCAGACATATATCATCGGCGAAGTCCAGATCCTACAAGTTTTTTGTGTGAGTCCATTTTATGCATGTTTCCTCATTGCCCAGCTCGCTGTCTGTCGCATTATCCAATCTACTGCAATCCGGAAGATCATTGGCGATAGTAGGCAGCCTTGCCTCACTCCCGTCCTCACTTCGAAGGCTTCCGTAAGTTTCCCACTGTGAATTACTTGGCATGCAGCATTGTCGTATAACTGTTGGATGAGATGTATAATTGTCAATGTCATGAACATCAGGAATTCTTGATTCAATCATGTTTAATTCCATCCTCACTGAACAGTTCATACTGACTGATTGAGTCTGTCTGTCTGTCTGTCTGTTTTCGACATAGAACTTTGCACAAATGTGCGGAAGTTCAAGTCGCCACATTCCGTGTAGCACGCGAAGCAAGAGAAGAAAGTACAAGAAAAGCATAATAGAAACAGTGAGCAGAGGTGTGAGACAAAGGAGTAATAAAGAAATACAAAACAGTTTCATTGAAGATCATAAGTCACAGGGAGTGGATGCATCTGCGCCACTGAGAACGATTTTGAGCCATGTCACCAATTGTTTCCAACCATAGATTTTTACCGTCCCGAGGACCCCAGCCTGGAAGTCTACACCTTCCTACGTGGCTTAGACCAACTGTTGTGGATTTCATTGACTGATGCCAAGTTTTTGTTTGACCGCCGCTAGCTTTTTTCCAGCCTGACCCTATATCCGCTAACATTGCTCGTCGAGGGAGGCGATGGCTTGGCATACGTAACACATGTCCTAACCATCTCAGTCTTTGTAGCTTCACGACTTCGTCGATTGATTTCCCCTGTTTACCTAGAACTCTACGCCTAACCTCAATGTTGCTCACCTTATTATGCCACTTTACACGGGAAATAGAACGCAGGCACCTATGATCAAAGACAGCTAGTCTTTTCATGTCTTCCACTCTCAGTGGCCAGGTCTCACAACCATAAAGGAGGACGGAGCGGACTGATGAGCAGTACACCCGCCCTTTGGTCGATAGTCGAACATCTCGTCTACGCCAGAGTCGGCGTAAACTAACAAATGCGAAACGAGCCCCTTGTATTCGTGCTGAGATTTCGTCAGAGATCAGCCCGTTGGGGCTGATGGTACTTCCCAAATAAGTGAAGCGGTCAACGTGCTCTACCACTTCACTTCCTATTTTTAAACTAGGCGTCGATGTAGTCCAGTCCTGTAACATCATCTTGCATTTGGCGGGAGCGAATCGCATGCCAAACATTCGTAGATTGCGGCTCAAGGTGTTTAGAAGACTCTGCATTTCGTCAGCGTCTTCGCCTAGAAGGACTATATCGTCTGCATATTCCAAGTCAACGAGATTATTCCCCGGTAGCAAGTCAATCCCTGAGTCGCTGAAGTCACCTAGGGTTAAGTCCATTAACACATCTATGATGAAGTTGAATAGAAAAGGAGATAATGGGCATCCTTGACGGACACCACTGGTCGTCATCAGTTCAGATGACAGCTCGCCGTAAGCCCTCACCTGGCTGTATGAGTACGAGTAGAGTGCCTTAATCAGTGCAATATATTTTCTTGGAATTCCCTTTACAGCCAAGCATCTCCAGAGAACTTCCCGATCGACAGAGTCGAATGCTGCCTTTAGGTCAAGAAATATAATGACTGTTGGACGCCGGTAGGAATGCCTATGTTCTAGAATCTGTCGGAGGGTGAAGATATGATCAATACACCCTCTTCCTGGTCTAAAGCCTGCCTGGCTCTCTCGTGTTTGTGCTTCCCGAGCACCACTCAGTCTACGCATGATTATTGAGCCTAAGACTTTAGATACTATATTAGTCAAGCTAATCCCTCTGTGATTATCACAGGAAGACTTGTCTCCCTTCTTGTATATGGGGATAATCAGTGACTTACACCAACCCGATGGGACTTCTTCTGATTCCCAGACGCTGCCTAGTACCTCAGTTAATCCGGACAGTAAGCTGTCTCCACCGTACTTAAATACCTCTGGAGTCATTCCATCAGGTCCCGCTGCTTTGCCTAGTTTCAGATTGGTGACAGCTTTAGTAACCTCAGTTAGTGACGGAGGACCTGTGTCTATATCCCATTCAGGGAGGTGTTGGATGCTCGGAAGGTTGAGCGTGGCTGTGGGCAAATTAAACTGCTCCTCATAATGCTCTTTCCAACGATCCAGTCGTCTATCCTGGAGCTAATTATAGTGCCATTTTTTTCCGAGATTGTCTCACTGATGATTTGTCTTCTCCCACCCGTTTCCCTGATGAGTCCAAAGAGTTGCCTGGTGTTGCCTATCCTCGAAGCTTTCTCCATCTCTTTGGCTTTTGTCGCCCACCACTGTTCACGGTCCTTGCGGAGACTTTTCGTAAGTTTCCTCTTGTGCAGCTTTCGCTCCTCATTGAATTCGGAGCTCGCCGGAATAAGTCTTCTAGCATCTATCAGTTCGGATGAGGCGGTGGAGATCCAGTGGTTTTTACTCACCTTTGGGTTTACCTTATTCACAGCTTTTACAGCTGTATCTATGGCTGCCTGGATATTTTTCCAAGCTTCTTCAGGGTGAGCACAGCTGTCGAACACAGATATGTGTTTAGCTAGTTCTTCCTCAAATACGGATTTAGTTTCCTGATCGAGCTGGGGACGTGATGGTTTTACCGCCAGCTGTTTCCTACGTCCGTTCAGTCGTAAGCACACCCGAGCGCGGACCAGTGCATGGTCGGTATCTACGCACGTGTTCCAGAAGGAGCGACAATCTCCTACCGACCCACGCCAACGATAGCTTATTGCTATGTGGTCTATTTGTGTCCAGCGTTGGTTTGATGAAGGGGGTCTCCAAGTCAAACAGTGTCTCTCCTTGTGTTTGAAGTTAGTGCTTACAAGAAACAAATGATTATCAGAGCAGAACTGTAGGAGACGGTCACCGTTGTCGGTTCGCTGGCACGGAGCTCCATAGGTGCCACCGACATCCTTCTCAGATTGACACAATTTCCCTACTTGAGCGTTAAAGTCACCAGCTAGAACGACTATGTCTGAGCGTTTAGCCTTTCTCACCAAACTAGACAGCTTTTGGTAGAACTCATCCTTCGTTTCATCTGAACTGCAGTCAGTGGGGGCGTAGGCGGAGATTACGAAAAGGCATCGGCGAGTAGTGCAGTCCTTCCTCCTTCTTACTGATCCGTTCAGGCGGACAGCACACATTCGGCTATCTACCGGGATCCAGTCAAGCAATGTCTTTTCTGCCCTAGTACTCAAAGCTATCCCTACGCCAGCTAATCCTCGTGAACTAGCTGTGGCATCTCCTGACACCCTCAAGGTGAATTTTGCAGATTCAACCTGTTGGCCAGGTGGGGTTAGGTGAATAACCACACTTGGGTCTTGTATGCGTGTTTCTGAAACACAGCATACATCAATGGCTCGTGATGCCAGGGTCTTGGCTAGTGATGCTTGTTGTCCTATTTGGCAAAGTGTCCTAACATTAAGAGCTCCTATATGAAATTGGTGGCGCGGCTTTAAGAGGCTGTCGGTGGTGGTTTTTTGGCTTCCATCGTTTTTAGTGGACGCAGAGTGGAGAGGAAGTGGAGAGCTATCAAGTCGAGGAGTTGCATCAGTGGAAGGAAGGCAAGATGATAGAGATGAAGATGAAGACAAAGATGAGTGAGTAATAGAGAGGTTTCGTGTGCATTTCGGATTGTGAGGGCGATTGTTACTTCCCGGCTGCCCACACCGTGGAAGTTGGTTGCGTGACCGCAGAGCCCAGGGGACAACTGCTTGAGGCCGGTCACACGCGGCCTGATTGAGTCACTACACAAAATTCTGCACAGAACAAAGTCAACATATAGGATCAAAGACAGTTGGCTTGCTCGGGTTTTCCACTCTCCAGGGTTATGTCTCAGTCATAAAGGAGAACAGAAATAACTTCTAAGCAGTACATATGATCTTTGATCAATTGCTGGATATCACATCAACGCCAGAGATGATGTAGGTTGTCGAATATCAGTGCAGGATTTCGTCAGCAATCGGTCTCCTGGGGCTGATGCAGCTTCCCAAATGAGTGAAATGATTAACACACTCTACCATTTCACTCTCTATCTTTAAGCCAGGACAGGGTTCAGACCAGTCCTGGAGTATTATCTTACATTTGACATAGGTAAATCGCAAGTTAAACATACTAAGGTGTCCAGAAGACTCTGTATTATATCAGCATCTTCATCTAGGAGGATAATATCATCCGTATGATCTAAGTCAGCAAGACTGTTTCCTGGTAACAAGTCAATCCCCATGTCACTGAATTCGATTAGGGTCATATCCATCACTACATCTATGATGAAATCGACTAGAAACGGGGATGATGGCCATTCTTGACGAACAACACTGACTGTCACCACTTCGGATGACAACTTTCCATAAGATCTTACATGATCTCGTCAGTTCGAATAGAGAACCTTGATCGGTGTGATATACTTTCTCAGCAATTCCTTAATGGCAGCTACAGCAATTTATCTAAAAGAATTACAGTTTTATCGAGTGAGTATCCACCCTGCCCTCGATTTTCGATGATTACAACTATACTAGCATATATAAACTACTTTTTGTAGTGTTGCAATGTTTTTCAAGTGTAAACAGCCACATACTCAAGGTTCTGATGCATGGAATTTCTCCATTGTACAACTTGTCAAATACTAACAGAATATTTTAGGATGCTTCGTGTTTACTCATTGCCGTCTCTGAAGTGTCAAGTTGTCTAGTAACATGTGTTTATTTTTTAATAACACATGCCAAGCCATCGCCATCCTTGTTGAACAATGTTAGCTGAGAAAGGATTAGGTTGGAAAAGAGATAGGAGCAGTCCAGTCAAGACATTGCAACAATCCATGAAGTCTCTGACTACTGAGTTTAACCGAGTAGAGACGTAAAGACTGCTGTCGAGACTAGAGACTATTGGTGGTATGGCTCAAATCGTCCCTATTGGAGCAGATGCATTCACTCTTCACAAACTCCCAGACCTGCTAAATTCCTATATCAGCACTGTTGCTAGGAACAGATATTTCAGACTCAAAACTAGGGGGTTCAGACTTATTATGTGATTATTATGTGGTGACACTACCAAGCCGCTGAGGCTGAAGTAGGTGGAATGAGATTCGAAATCGACGCCCGCCACCTGAAAGTGCACTGTTTAAACCAATAAACCGAATTTCCACTATCACAATGTATTACTTTGTTTATCTAATAGTGTGCACATATAAGATAATAATAATAATAGCTGTAGTACCAGTAACAATAATAATAACAGTAAGCCTTTCCATATTAGTTTGTTTATTAGATGTATCATACAGTGAAACAGTATTATTGTTTTACTGGATGACGTCTCGAACAAAATTTATTATCCTTCATAATCATATCAATTGTAATCACACGACTTTGAAACTTGAGTTTTATAGTTTTCTTTGTTTTCTCCTAATTGTCGTTGTTGGGGTAGTAGAATTTTCCAGATATCTGAGTTGACAAATGTTGAATCATTCCTTTTACATGTATTTGCAGTTGATTCGATAAACAAAGCCCCAGTCAGTTTTCAATCTATCCCTCCGCTCAGTGACATTAGATTTTAAAACCGCCATCCTATCCCATCACCCTATTGTATGCTTGTGTGTACCTGTATGTAGTGCTATCTACGGCTGAACTATTCTCTAGATTTATCTTATTCGGATCAACTAATCAAGACTTGGCTAGGTTTTATGCTCGGCTAATCTGACTGCCCCTGTTCTACTACTTTGACCCATGTATTTAACCCGACAATCACTCAAGAAGGGTATTAGATCAACTAAAGTGTTTTGTTTTAAAGGCTCCACAGGCGGGATCATTTAACCGACAAAGCTTGTTTCTAATTGAGTTTGTGGGTCTGAATGCTACTTTTATTCCTGCCTTGTTAAGAATTCTGCGTGAGGCTTCCGAGGTTCCTTCCTTGTATGGAATTACTACTGATGATTTAGATTCCTTATTGTTGGTGTCGTCATTAATATTATTATTATCACTATTATTATTACCATTTTACACATATAATAACAGTAAGCGAGATCAAAATGACACAATCAGAAAGTTCAGTCTTATTTGTGGTTTACATCTATCAATCTTCGTTTATATTCACTATTATTTTATTTTATTTAAACGCAGAAAAAACTTGGTACAAATATGGCACCAAGAAAGATGCGCCACCCAACTTTAATTCATTTTTTGTGTGAGGGCTGAGATACTGCCCGGGCGCCCAGACCCAAGCAGGCGGTTTTCTTAAGGGACCACCCCCGAGCCTTTGACTTGTAGTCTAATCCGCAAGGCAGCAGAGTAGCATCAGGAGCTGCATTCCCATGGTTTCCGGTGACCCACATGGGTTCATACGCCATTTGATCCGAATGGATTCTGGACCCCATGTACCCCACATGGTAACTGCTTTTAGTTTAACCGCTATCCAAACAAACTTCCTGACATGGTAGGACCTGCAGGGACATGAGTTCCAGCCAGTTTAGCTTATTGGGTCATTGCGGTATTCAAGCCCGACCACCACGACAAGGTAGCAGTTGTCGGCCGGGTTATATCCACTAATCTCAAAAGACACAAATAATGATGGAATATTAGAGAAGACATTCTTTAAAAAATAATTACTCAAGGATGAAATTTTAAATTCATTAAGTAAACTAGAAGTGCTGTTTGCAAATTACCTCTGCATGTTATTCATTTTATTTTGTATCAAAAAATAATAGAACCATGTATCAGTTAGAAACTTCATTAACTCTTACCTAGTAGCTACAATTAATCCTTTTAAAAGTGAACCTGCTTGTGGGATCACAGACTGATCACCCAAAGCTATTTGTAATGTATCACGTACATGAGTATCATCAAACTCGTGAGTAGGTCGAATACGTCTTGGAGCAATACCGAATTCCCCGAAATCCTAAGAAAAAAAAGTCACGTAAAATTTCCCATATAAAATTACATCGCATATATATATATATATATACAACGCTTCAAAACTTGTAAGATTTACTGTCCCAATACTTCTCAATAACATTTACAGATACAGCTAATTAGGTAGAGTTTAAGTTGGGTAAATACTGTCTGTGTTCTTTTTTCTGGTACACAGTGAAAGTTTGATCGATATATCTAAAAGCAGACATCAAACCATAGTTTCAGAGGAGGTAAAGTAACTTCAAGACTAACACTTTATGCACCAAAACAGACATTTCAAATCAACTGTGTAGTCTAAGAGTTATTTATTTATTTATTTTTGATTACAGCTTGATTCCACACTGTATTTTTGGTACATGTATGGAATTTTCAGCATGTGATATCGGTAGCCCAAATTTTGCAGGCCGACCATTGATATCAGGTGTGTGTCGGCAGGGGATAGAATCTCGGACCATGTGCATGGTCGGCGAGAGTCCTAACCACTGTGTCACCGACGCACAACCCACGATCCTGAGATTAAGAGTCTCATGCTCTACCGACTGATTTAACCGGGCAATATAGAATATCGACTAAAATGGGAAAAATTCCACAAAAATTGAGGATAATTCAAACCTAGATGGCCAAGGTAACGATAATGTCTGAACTAGCTTCTTTTGAACGCACAAATTAGGCTTCTTAATATCGACCCCAACTACTACTACTACTACCACTGTGGTGAAAGCAGCCTGCTAGCCAATTGGTCGACATTAATCTACGTCAATGTCTAGGTCACTAATATGGGCCGTGAGAAAATACGAACAAGGCTGTTTCAACAACCAATCACAGCAAACTTAAACGTGGGCAAATATGATACGCAGATAGATGGCTCCACTTTCTGAGGAACTCGAAAACAACCAATCAGAAGGCTGCGTTTGTCTACTTGACTGGGCTATAATAATGCATGTGAAATTTATGTAAATACGTGTTGATTTTCGTAATAAAACGATCTGTTGCCTGGCCCTTGTCTTCTGTTGTTACACTACTACTACTACTTAGTATTTCCGTTTCTGTCGCAAACACCAACACTCCGGCGAAATCGCGTTTTATTTGTAGATATAATTCAACCAGAAGTTACTAAAGATATATTTTCCACCCTCCAACAATGAACTTGTGAAATAACCCAAGAATTACACTCTGCATCCATATGAGAAGACAAATTCAACAATATTAAGAGATTACTAAATATCCAATTGATAAACATTTAAATGTACAGGGACTTAATTCATAAATCACCTCATTTTACAGGAAATGGCATAAATACCGCCAATGTCATAGGGCTTACCACGTTGTAAGGCAAACCTATTCATGCTAACCTCAGTGAAATGTTATTTAAATTCAAATAAATAAAGACCGCTCATAAACAACATCAGTAGTGTGCAAATCAATCTTGCTGGGAAAATAATATCATTATGTAACATTGGAAAGTGATTGAGCCATCTGGTTATCGAATGACTCATGAGGACAGCATTTCAGACACATTTCACAATGCCCTCCATCATATTACAGCTGCTTCCAAATACAGACTAAGTGTGACACTTAGTCAAGTGCACATTCTTATTCTTTTAAATCAACTACAAAGTTGAAGCACATTAGATAAACTAGAAATTCTTACACTCAGTAAACCTTATTCGCACAGTTTTCATCTCAGCCAACACATTCCTTCAAGTAGCTATGATACTTGAAGTAGTTACAAAAAGGAAACGATTGGCTTCTATGTACAATTTCAACATCATTTCATGGATCACACGCCGAAGTCAGCTCCTTCTTAAAAATGATACCAGTCTCATGTATTTCGACTATTTGTCACATCATGGCAGCTTAGATTTTTGGAGTCGTGCTTATTTGACTTAGAAATTTGTATGCATCAGAAACATAGGTAAGTTTCTTACCTTCCTAGCGACATTCACTTTGACATGTTCGCCAAATCAGAAAACAGACAAACCACTTTAAGAGCCCGTTGGCAGAGCCCGACAGTGCATTGCATAACTATTTTGGCTGGAGCCATACAGACATATGTGAGTTTTTGAGCCTACATACAATCACAAGTCGCACACTTTCAACTATATAACTGTAAATTGATAGTCATTTAGGATCAATTAATGGCGACAAAAAAATTTCAAAAGCTTAACAACTCAACATATATTAGACGGAAAGGCTGAAAAGCAGCTAACAAACACACTTAAGGAGCTGAGGAAACATGGAGTAGTCTCAGAGGTAATCTACAATCCTCTTCAACCTACTGGAAGTAATACTTCACGATTGTATGGTTTGTTCAAAGTACGTAAACTGGGAATTCCTTTTCGCCTAGTCCTAGATATGTCTAATTTAATCAACTATTGAATGGTAAGGTGGCTAGGTGAACTTCTCCAACCGTTACAAACGAAAGTGATAAATCATAGTATTAAAGACGTCTTTGAATTCATTTCTAACATACATGATGTCAATGTAAGTGGGAATTAAATGTTATCCTTAGATGTGGCATCGCTATTCACCAGTGTTCCACTTATGAAGACTGTAGAATTCATATGCCAAAAAATACTAGAAAAGCAGTTCGATACCAGAATTCTAATTATTAGTCTTAAAGAGCTGCTTCTAAGATGCACTATGAATGTATACTTAACATTCAACAACCTTTATTACAGACAAATCGACAGTATTGCCATAAGTTCTCCATTGGGTCCAATTTCGGCAGATTTCTTTCTTGCCAAGTTTGAAAATGGTCCATTACAACAAGTAATAGATAAAATGGTTTCTTATTTTCGTTATACTGATGATACATTTGTTATTCTTGATGAGAAAGCCGACAAGAATGAAATGTTAATAAGATTTAATGATGTACATCCATCCCTCATCTTTCCTTGTGAAGAAGAACATGATGGTAGAATACATTTCCTTAACCTTGAATTGAGCAGTCAAGAGAGATGTACACAGAAAACATACGTCTGTAGGACAATATACACATTTCTTTAGTTTTGTACCACTCCGATATAAAATCAACTTGGTCAGATGCCTCACGAATAGAGCAAGAAGGATCTGTACAGAAGACTCTAGAAAATGAATTAGCATACATCCAAAATACGCTATTCCAAACGGGTTATCCTAGTAGATTCGTAAGTCCTACATTTAAGAATATCGAGAGCACTAAAATGAACTTATAGTGCTACCAGCCTCTGTTCGTCATTTTCCAGCTGACCAATTATGATCGCCAAGCGACAAGCTGCCTAGCTTTGCGGCTTCTATGTGCATTTACCATTTGAGCTGCTCCTCAGGATAAAGCTGGCTATATAGGGTGAACAATTAGACACCGCAATAAACGTATTAATCAGCGACTTACTTTATGGTTCGGAAAAGGCCAAATGAAATCTATAAGAAGCCCTATTTTATCTTATTTGATTGATAGCTGTCACCAGGTGGAGAGAAGAAGTGCCTTCAGAGTTATCTATCGTATTCTATCGAACCTTTCGAATGGAATTCGAACCCGTCTTTTACATTTAACTAAGGCTATGGGAATTCGAGAGAACAATCCTGGTCATTACATACAAAAGAAGTTTGTTCGACCTTTGTCTCTCCCTTGGCCTAGGCAATGTCTAATTAATACCCTCCCACGGCCATCGGTCAAATTTTTTTACATAAAGTTATGTAAACTATAGTAAAGCCTGAAGATCCAATTGAAAACAACTGTCATATACAGAATAATTCATAGGATGTATAAATGTTGGAAGGGAGTGTATAATTATAGGGTTAGTAAGAAAATAATAAAAATATTACATAATATGGTGTGAATTTGGACAAGATAGAATTCAACATTGAGAAAAAATTGATTTAGAGTGACAGATGGGACAACTGAAATCATACCAGAAACAGTTCAGTGTGAGAATAGTTATAGACAATAATAATAATTATCATTATTAATATTATTATTATTATAGTGAGATTAAGATACATAAATTATCTAAATAAACAAAAAAGTTGAAAAATCATATGTTTATTCGTTTACGGCCACTACCCAAAATGGGATTGTACATACTTCTTTGAACACAAAGTTCTGGCTTAAATTCATCAATAACCAAGGTCTCCACTGTTCAGAAGTCAATTAAGTTTTCTAGGACAGAACTTCACACACTCTTCCATTCTTCCTTGTGAAGCCATGCTGGAATGTGTTCCCATATCTGTGTAGAAAGTATTCTCTGGTCACAAGCAATGTATCTTGCTCTAAAACAGTAGGTGAACTGATAAATGCACATGGGAGCGCCCAAACGAGGGAGATTACCTTTTACAGAGACAGAGGACAATTTGCGGCTGATGAACGTCATCGGTAGTTTTGCAGCAATACACGTCTACTGAATGATTTCGAGAGATGATTTTTGAGCACATCTTAAGCTTGATCACCTTTGAATTCTAAGTCCATGAATATGGTTTTCTTTGCAACTGAGTCGGAGACCAGTTTGAATTGCTTATCTTAAGTGTTTTTGCCATGAATTCGGGGAACCTTTTCTGCTAGCGTGACTTTTAGCAGGGAAAGTTCTGAGTCAACCCAATCAGAACTATAAATGTTTCTTATGTTAAAGCGAAGCGAGCGAATTAAGTTCCTTTTTTTCCTGGAGATTGGCACACAACTATAGAAAGTAGTTAGTTGAGAGATCCATCATTACGTCTTCTGAGACACACATCAACAAATGGAATGTTTAGTTCAGATTCCTTTTCTATGGTAATTTGTAAAGAAGGTTGGCAGACACTGAATGCAACCGAGATATCATTAAGAATTACATCCTAACCCCAGATAACGAAAGTGTCCTCCACACATCTTCCATAAATGCCGAAGCAACCGATGGTTTGATTAAGTTGAGAGTTTTCAAGCTTGACCAGTATTGGACCCAAATAGCGATTTCATCACAATCCCATCTATCGGTCTAACAATCTTATTACTGAAAGTGAAAGAACATTCAATGTGCATCTCAACAGGAGTTCTCTGAGGTATATTGTTGGCAACCCTGTCTAAACTTTGTGCTTAAATGTAATCTCATATACATGCGACAGTTTGAGAGAGGGATACATAGATAAACAACGAAGCCACATCTAATGAGAACATTCCAATGGTTTCCCAATGGTTCTGTAACTGATATCAACCCGTGATCAAACCTGTGACCAATAGAAACGCAGCAAATCAACACCTGATAGTACATCATAAACTTATTTCATGTCATTTTACCTAAAGTTCTTCTTGATCCGGGCTACTTTCAATGATAATCAGAGCGAAATGACTATTATTCCATCTTGTAATTGTTTCACAATAAACCTTCTTAAATAATTTTAAGTTGAATATACCGATTATCCTGAAATTAATGGATTTATAGTTGTAGAGCCCGAAGAAGAATTTATTGGAAACAATTGTTCACTCCAATTACTTCCGTTTCGAATTAAAAGCAAAGCAACAAATGTTTATAAAGTAGGATTTAACGAATTCACCAAACTTCAGTAGAACGCTTCAGCTGAATACTACTCTACATACACAGTGATATACACAATACACTATCAGAAATACATTGTGAGATGTAAGACTGGTAAATAATTAAATAAACTACATTGAACTAAAGATGTTTTATCGCATAATGAACAGCAACATTGACATAAAACTAGAAAGTTTTTAAGTCTTACTTCATCATCCATAAAATCTTCTGGACGTTGAGCCAACTTTCCATCAGAATCTCTTTCTCTGTTTTTACGAGAAGAGTAGAAACTTTTCGGCTTAAATCCTGAACGAGAAAAGGATGACAAAATAATTAATGAAACGAAATATATAGATGAAACACACTACTGCTTATAAAAGGGGAAATCAATCTACAATAGCTTAAAAGACAGGGATGTTTTGAGAAACCAAACATGTAACACACGAAATATAATGCATTGCTACTGCGAGTCAATCGGCCCAGTAGTGATACTGAGCAATCGATTGACCATTCTTGACTTGAGTATAGTAACTAAAAATTCCGGACTAAAATAATTTTACTCGATATGGCACATGGTGATACACTACTCTTATGCTTATGCCTGAAAATGTTCAAATCCGGTAACTATTTAATAGAGTCGAAAAAGACATTCAAAATTACTAATAAATAATTCAATGTATAAAACTATGCATTTACCTTCTTTAGATCCAACTGAATTGAAATAGCCAGCAGAAAATCCACCAGTAAATGCCCCATGAAATCGCATAGGTCTACCTTTTTCATTCAATACTCGCTGTTCATAAGCAGATGGAATAGCCCTTCGTTTTCCCAAAGCCAAACCACGAAATCTGCTTTGTTCTGGAAATTGAATAACTTTACGTGTATCTTAAACTAACCATCCTCCTCATCGCTGAAAGGATCACCATACGCTACGAATGAGTAGTCTTCTGGATCAACTGGCGAGGACATTCTTTACTTTTAAAAATCTAATAGACTCTAGGCTGCTATACCTAGAAGCATAATGGTGTGATCTGTGTAGTAAAAACAAAAAATTGATGCACAGGCTTGGTTCGAATTTGTTTGCAAGAGATTAAATATAGATTAGGTGACTAAAAAGCTTAAGACTTTTATATATTCTTCTTCATTATTATATCCTCAGAAAACTCCTCTGTTGTCAAATCATAGAGGAGTATTGTCTGCTATTTCAATTTATCTGCACAGAGAACCAGTACAATAGTTCACATGCTAAATAACCAAATAAAATAGCTTCCGAAGAAAATACAGCCCCTATAACATGCATTTGCCCAGTGTGACTGTATTGATTGGAAGCTAACCAAAGGCAATAAACTCAGTTATACTGCATCACTTCTCTCAAGGAAAGCAAGAATACGAATAATAACGTGGAATGTACATACTATGTAGGAAGCTGGCTGAGAGGACTGTCCAGGTAGACAAAGAAATGAGAAGATATGGTGTAGAAGTGTTCGGAATATGTAAGAGCGGATGGAATGCACGTGTTTTATCGAAATTGTCGACTGGCGACTTATTAATCTACTCCGGTCACACAGACAACAATCACGAGCACACTGAGGTAGTGAGTATCTATTATGATGTCACCAGTGGCAGCCAAAGTCCTAATGCAGTGGGAACCAATATCATCCAGGATCATGACAGCAAGATTCAACTCACAAGGAAGGAAAGAAGGACGGTTATAATTATCATACAATGCTACCCACAGCGCTACAAACAACTAAAGAACAAGAGAAGGAAGAAGACTTTTATCGACAACAGAAAACAGTAATGAACAACATCCCGAATGGTGACATCAAACTCCTCAAGGGCGATACGAACGCCAAACTGGGAGCAGATAATACACGTAGAGAACTCATCATGGGTCGAGAGGCTCTCATTCGGAGAAATGAATGACAATGGAGAACTCTTCCCAGACTTCTTCACGCTATCACTGATTTGGTGATCGGAGGGAGCGTGTACAAACACAAGGATATACACAAAGCAATATGGACACACTACAAACCAGATAGACTTGTTACCGACGAAAGTGGAAACGCAGCTAGTGTGCTGGACGCAAAGGTGGGAAGGGGAGCAGATGTGGGCTCGGACTATCATCTGGTCCAAGGAACATTCAAGGTGAAGCTGAAATCCCTCGAAACAACTGCAGACAGGCCACAATTAAAGCTTGAAACTCGGAAACTGTAGGACAAACCTACAATGAATGCCTCCGCTACAGATGGGAGCAGAGCTTGGTTGACGACACTACGCGGCATCACTGAGGGAATTTGTGTAGAAGAAGATTGGAACTCACTCTCTGAAGGCTGATGATGTTCAAGGAAACCTGTACAACTGTCCTAGGAAGAAAGAAGAAACAAGACAAGACGAGGAATGACTCTCAACGGATATCTACCTGGGAACTAATAGAAGAGAGAAGAGGAGAAGAGGATGGTGAAAGTGAAGATGACTCAATGGACAAATGGACGGCAGAAGGAGAATGTGAGTTGAATGTACACTGCGCTGAATAAAGAAAGAAGTGAAGAAGAATGCTAGGAAAGACAAAGGACAATTCTATGAAACAGTGGCCAGCAACTGAAGCAGGACAGGCAAGCAGGCGGCAGGTAAAGGAGACCTGAGAACATTATATCAGATAATCAGGCTGGTGTTCATCCTGGAAGGGATCAAAACAGGCAAAACCTAAAAAAGATGTTCAAGGGAACCTAATTACCAAGGAGGAAAAACAAATAAAACCATGGGCTAATCACTTCAAAGGACTCTTGAATCGATCATCAACAGAAGTACTACCACCAACTGCACGCACGGAGCTGCCTGCCAGTGGACACAAATCCACCAGCAATAATGGAGAGCTTGAATGCAATCAAGTTACTGGACGTTGACCGGGAAGGAAGTGGGGTCAGACGGAGTTCCCTCACTCCGAAGCACTGAAAAAGGACCCAGAGACTGCGGTAGATATGTTCACGCCATTATTGCAAAAAGTTTGGAAAGAAGGAAATGTGTCTACAGATTAGAAGAAGAGTTAGCTACCTTTTCAAGCTACCGAAGTACAGCGACTTGCGCCTCAATCTCCAAGAACTGGCGTGGAATAATGCCAAGCTTGTCCACGCCAAGCAGAATATTGAGTTGCATCATCCTGGAGAGGATAAAACTGCGGTGGATGCGGAACTCCGCCCACCGGACGGAACCAAGTGGACTCAGCAAAGGCAAATCATGTGCGGATCATAATGCAACTCAACGCATCATCACCATCATAATTGAACAAATCACAAAATTAAGCCAGACGTTTGTGTACAAAAGAAGTATATACAATCCTTACTTATGCCTTGGCCGTAGAGGGGATAGACATTTATTTATTTTGTTTTTTTTTCAGTTATTCTACGTACATTTCCCTTATTTCTACGATTATTATTAGTGGTAGTACTAGTATTATTACTATTCTCGCTTGTGCCACTTGTCATTTTAAATCCAAAATTGTAGTTGTTATTTTTTGTTATTACAATATTGAATTCTATTTTATCAAATTTCAAACCATGTTATGTAACATTTTATATTCGCCTACTAATCCTACAATTATATACCCCTTCCGAACATCTATACACCTTATGTATTATTCTATATATGACATTAATTATTTTGCCACTTGACATTAAACCATGATTATAATCACAAATATTTTAATTGCATTTCATACTATTATTTCATGTATTCACGCCTTTGACCTAATTCCCTCACCGGATATAATAATAATAATAATTTTTCCTTCACGTTCCCAGTGGAACATGGGGCTTCAAGGTAGAAGGCTTGAAGTTTCTGTAGCAGTGTTTAATTTTTACAGGATGGGGTTGCTAGCCTCATGCCCAACCTTTCCTCTTTACCAGCATTATTTCTGGCTCAGTGAGGTAAAGGAGTGAGCCGGCCGGGGATCGAACCCCGGACCGTGTGGATGGTCGGCGAGCGTCCTAACCGCTATACCACCGATGCACCTCACCGGATATAATTTCTTTAAAAAAACTATATATATACGAATGTACAGCTTTATAATAAATTCGTTAAAGTCTCTCTGCTGCATATTGTGTTTTTAATGCTACAATGGGAATTATTAAATTATTAAATCATAGAACGGCAGTCAAACCTCTACCTCAACTTCATCGACCTCGAAAAGGCCTTCACCAGCAGCACTGACTAAGAAGTAATCTGGAAACTGTTTCAACACTACGGCGTGCAGTGCCCAAGTCTTTATCAGCCCCATTCAATAGCTGGCTATATGATTGATAATTCCATGTGTCAGGCGACCCACAACGGACAACTCAGCGAGGCGTTTGAAGTGAATACAGTAGTAAGTCAAGTTGGCTGCCTGCCTATTATCTCTTGCGATGATATTCCTAATTGTGGTCGACTGGATTATACCAAGAGAATTACACTCGAATGATGTTATTTTTGGTTCTGAAGAGATTATCAATCGTACATTAAGAGACAGTGTACTACGCAACTATCCAGTTTCTCTCATTTTACTCATTCGTCTTATTTTACCAGTGTTAGGTATGACCGCTGGGAGTAGAAGACATCACAAGCTTAATTTTCTGACTGCTGACTTCCTGCATTTACTCATTTTAAGCAGGAAAATATAACATTTAGTGTTGAGATTAGACGTGGTGGCAATCACATCAGTCAGTAGGGTGGTTAATTAATAGGTACGATAGTTGCGATGTGGACTGTATAGACTGAGCCAGTCCTCCTTGAGAAACATTGGTTGATTTAGGATTAGGTTGAAAAAATCGAAAGTGGTCAGACTAAAGCATTACATCAATTCATGTCAATGACCAGTAAAATGAGCCAAGTGCTTGTAGTTGGCCTGGCTAAGATCCTCAAGATGCTGAAACTTCCAGGTAAAAGTACGCAAACGCACTAACTTTTCATCTCTGAGAATGCGAGATAGTCGTTTATCTTTATTACTCTAACTTTTATGTATTACTTTACAGTTATCATCTTCATATACCATGATACCTGAACAATAATTCGTTATTTTTTTGAAATTGTGGATATTACCTAACAGGACATCAGAGAGAAAAAATAAGAAGTTCAGCGAAGTTCAGCAATTTCATTTTCAGAAGCAGTTGTACAATTGCATTTATATATATATATATATATATATATATATAAGTTTACAAAGACACAATTACAAATTACTTAGATGGAGCAACGATGGAAATTAAAGATGATAATAATTTTCATTTATGTAAGCTTACATACAAGTGCCATTGTACAGCTGCTTCTGAAAATGAAATTGCCGAGAAGATATCTTCGCTGAACATCTTGTTCTTTTCTTGCTAATAATTTGTTAGACAAGCAAGCACTTTCTATACAATGAAATAATGAAAGCTACGAACTAAGTGCCATACTTAAAGATGCTCGAGTCAGTGAACCTCTGCTGTCGGAGAAAGAGGTCGAAGCTATGTTTAAGGATGTGCAAATACGTATAAACAAGCTTTATCTACAAAAACACATTGACTCTTGCAAATGAAAAATAATAACTACGTAGGTGTATATGGACGTTCAAGCAACAGGGTTCAACACTACGAAATATTTGGAGAGAGCTTAAGGCTGATAACGAAATGCTTACGTTGCAACATCTCAATGTTAGACTGGTTCAAACAATGGATACTCGCGGTCGTCTTAGTGAAGTATGCAACAGTAAGTAATGGGTACGCTGGGGTCAGCCCATGTGGCACAGAAGGAATACCACTCCCATCAATTCAGATCTGAATTGATGGGTCGACCCACGCGGATCTACGTGTCAAAGCAAGCGATAACCCATAAACTACAGCACAGGTTTTCACGAGAGTAGTTCAGAGCTTTAGATCCCTATAGACAATACGCAAGGTCTTTACTAGGATCACCAGTGAAACGTTCACTACTTTTTGTACACCTCTAGCGAGGTCTAT